CAGGTGCCGGGATAAGAGCGTGAATGGCAGCCGGGCCCACCTGCCCGCTGAGCACCCGTCACAGCCTTGCCTGCGCCCGAGGGCCTGGCACACAAGGTCCACCTTGGCTCTCGGAGGCTGTGTGGGCCTCGTGAGCACAGCTCTGGCTTTGGGAGGGTGCCTGGGCTCACGCCCCCTCTGACCCGCAGAGAAGCCCCGGAAGGCCTCTGGCCTGGTTTCCGTATCTGAGAGTGGGAGCTGAGCCTCCGCCCGCAGGGTTCAGGGACAGGGTGGCCTAGGCGGGAGTGCTGGTGTTCAGGGCCGGGGAGGGCCACCGGGTGCTCCACCTGAGGCCTGTCCTCTGGCCCCGCAGTCTTACACCACGTATGGCCTGGAGCTGACGCGCGTCACGGTGGTGGACACAGAGCTCCAGGTTGTGTACGACACCTTCGTCAGGCCGGACAATGAGATCGTCGACTATAACACTAGGTGTGCCCCCCCACCCTGACCCCCGACCCCTTGACCAAGGAGCTGGGAGCCCTGGCAGGACCCCCATTCCCCACCACGGCCCAGCCTTCCTGCCCGCAGCCCAGCCCCGGGTTGGGGTCCCCGTGCCCTCCCCAGCTCCCTAAGGCCTCCATCCTCCCGCCCCAGGTTTTCAGGGGTGACTGAGGCCGACCTCACGGACACAAGCATCTCGCTGCGGGACGTCCAGGCCGTCTTGCTGAGCATGTTCAGTTCAGACACCATCCTCATCGGCCACAGCCTGGAGAGCGACCTGCTGGCCTTGAAGGTACCCGCCTGCCTCGTCTTCGGCTCTCTGAGGGTCCTCAGAGGGTGGGTGGGGCCGTCTGGGGCCCGCTGTCCTCAGCCCAGGGCGGAAGCTGTAGGGTCGGGGAACAGGCACTCGGCGTCCCCCTCCCCCCTTTGCCACCCCAGCCCTCCTGTGGTCCGTGACCGCCCACCTGCCCGCCCGCAGGTCATCCATAGCACCGTGGTGGACACGTCCGTGTTATTCCCGCATCGCCTGGGCCTCCCCTACAAGCGCTCCCTGCGGAATCTCATGGCCGACTACCTCAGACAGATCATCCAGGACAATGGTGAGTGCCGGGCCGCGGGGGCCGTGGGGGCTGTGGGCTCCCTGCCCTGACGCATTTGTCTGCCCTGCAGTGGACGGGCACAGCTCCAGTGAGGACGCCAGTGCCTGCATGCACCTGGTGATCTGGAAGATCCGCGAAGACGCCAAGACCAAGCGGTGACCGCCGCCTGCCCGCCCGCCCACCCGCCCGCCTCTCCTGCCGCCCCGGCCCGTTCTCTACCCCAGGCCTCTTCCAAAACAGTGCAATAAATCTTGAGATCTAACCCTGTCCACGTCGCCAAGACACAGAAAACCGAGAGAACGGGACAAGGCGGAGGCCACGAGAGCCCAACGCCGAGACTGACCCCGGAGCCCCGAGCCCCCGCCGCACCCCATCGCCCATCCCTGCCTCTCTGCCCCAGACCTCTGTCCTCTGGAGACTGCTGCTGACTCGACGGGCGAGGCCAGGGCCCTCCCGCCCGGCACCTCCAGCGGGCCCTGCTCGTGCCCCAGGCAGCGAGACCACCTGCCCCTGCTCCTTCTCGTGGGCGGGGGGGGGCGGCTGGGCAGGCTTGTCGAGGGTTTGTTTGTGACAGGAGTTGTCTTTTTATTTTGTATTGTTATTTTTATTATTTGTAATTTAAACCTGATAACTTGCACAGTTGTCTTCCCCCACCTGGAGGAGCAAGGCCCTGGTGCTGCCTTCCCTCCTGGGGGACGGGGGTAGGGCTGGGAGTGGAGCACCGGCACCCCAGCAGCCGCCAGGACCTGGGAGTTCTGGGAACCAAGCCAGCCCCTCCGTCAGCCCCCAGGGCCTTGCCTTCTGGACGCCCCAGGGCCCATCAGCCTCTGGACACTTGTCTTCCCGCCAGAGCCCCGCCCTCCTCGGGGGGCTGTCTGTAAAGGCCCGCAGTGCCCCAGTTCCTGAATCCCCTCTCCCCCACCCCCAGGCAGGGGCAGAATAAACGTTTGTATGGATTTTAGAGCTCATGGCGTCTGGAGGTGTTCTTGGTGCCAGGTGTGGCTTTACACACACAGTGGAGGTCACCGTCACCCGTAACGGGGGGAATCAGGAATGGGACCTTGCTGTCCCTCACAAAAAACAGCCCAGTGCTCGGGTTTACCCCAGGACCAGTGTCCAGAGCAGACCAGGGCCTCATGCTTCCAGCCCCTCGGGGTTCCGTGACAGTGGGGCCAGCGGCCAGGCCCTGGGACTGGAGTTGCCTTGCCCACTCATGAGGTGGGGCCTGTGTACGGGGCTGGGAGTGGGGAGACCCCGGCCACCGCTGCATGTTCCCTGTCTGAGCAGCTAACTTGGGAAGGGAAGGGCAGCCACTGGGGTAAAGCAAAAAGTGAAGCCCAAAGAGCCTCATGGGTCGGGGAGATGCTGGGGGGCCCCAGGTCCCTGTGCAGGAGCACGAAGGTGCTGGAAGGAGGGCTGCCTGGAGGAGGCCCCCTTGCCACTCCACTTCCGCAGAAGTTCCTCTGGCTTTTGCTAAAGGCCAAGAGGGCAGGCTCCCATCTGAGGACACAGCAGCCAGGGCTGCAGAGTTCCCAGGGGGCGTCGACTGAAAAATACAAGACCTGAAAGCTGTGAGTTATGTTTTATTCCAGGAACTTACTGAGGACTGTAGCCCAAGACATTGCCTCTCATATAGCTCTGAGGAACTGTTCCTCGGAGTTTTTGCTGAAAAAAACCCCATAGAGTCAAACATCAAAAGGTTCCTGCTAATCACAAAAAGCTGACATCTCTAGTTAATGATTGCAGTGCTTTTCTGTGTATGGGAAGATGCTAGATGCTGTCTGGGCTCACTGAAATCATTCCTTGGATATGCACTTCAGCTATCCAGGGCCAGTATCTGGTTCTTCTCCATCCTGAATCCCCTCAAGGCGCACCACTGTGGGGAAGGGGGGTGGCGCTGCAGTGGCAGAAGGCTTGATGGTGAGCAACATTCTCTGTCCACAGGGGCCCTGAGGGGAGGGTTCTTGGTGAAGTCAGGCCTCTGCCACCATCGTGTCCCTCCGGGGCTGTTCTTGTGACCAGTTGACTTTCCCCCACCCTCTGTGAACAAGGAGTGTTCTTCTAAAGAAAGGATGCAGGCAGCATCCCAGAAGCCCCGTTTCTGTGTGGTCTGTCCCCCTCCCCAGAGCATGAGTGCCCCAGGGAGGCCTTGGGCAGTTGGGGGAGGAGCTCCCAGGTGTGGGGGGTGTTGGGGGTGGGGTGCAAGCTTTCAGCTTGCCAAAACTGCTGCCTCTTGGAGGCCAAAGAGCCTTTGCAAACTCGCTGCTTGGGAAACTCTTCTCCCTCTGTCACCCTCCCAGGGGGGAGAACCGATCCCGACCCCCTCCTCACAGGCGCCCACCGGGTGAGGTGTCTCCTAAAGGCTGTTAGAGCAGTTTGTCCAAGACACTCCCCGCAGTGTCTTTCTCTGTAACCGCTGGGTAGGGCTGGATGAACGTTTCTCCAGTGAATGAAGGAAAGGAGAGGTTTACCTGGCATCCCCCAGAGGCCGCTGGGCGTGCAGGTCTTCCCAAGAAATGGGAGTGGGAGGCTGCTGCTCTGATGGGGACGGTCAGCTCCTGGGTGCTGTCACCATCCCCATCATTCATTCCTTCACCCAACATCAGCTCAGAGGGGATGCCCGTGCCCCAGGCAGAGCACAGTCAGACAGGCACCCTCGGTCTGTTGGGTGGCGGCTGGGCCAGAGGGAGAGAGCAACCCCGAGGCTGGGGAGAAAGGGTGGTGGAGGTGTCCACTACCTTCCTACTTTCTGTGCTTCAGAGGGTTCCTAAAAGAATATGAAAAACAGAGCTTAATCACCTCCCCTGAACCCCCAAGTTTGACCCTCCTAGGAGGACCCTACCTTCAGTAGCGCCTCCCACACACCCTCCCCGCCCTGGCTCAAGTCCCCCATCTCCGGCCTGGACGCTGCCCCAGCCTCATCGCTGTCTCCCACCCCTGTCACCACCTCCAGGAAGGCCCCCGGAGTCCCGGCCGCGTGCTGGGTAGACACACACCGGGCTAGAACCCTGTGGGCTTCTTCCTGGCGGGATGATCTCTGGTTCTAACAGCCTCCCGCAGCCTGAAGTCCAACACTGTACCTGCGCGTACGACATGCTCGCTGAACTGGAACGCGCACACAGCTCAGACTCACGCTCCGCATACCTGCGATTACCTCTCCGTCCTTTCTCCGCCCCTAGCCTCTCCCCCGTACACACACCCGGCCCCGCCCAGCTTCAGCCGGGTCCAGCCCACCCCCGCCAGCGACTGGCCCCTTAATTCCCAGGCCCAGATTAAGACTCCATCCCGCCCCAGCTCCTCGAGGTCACGCTCGGTCCCGCCTTAGGCCCCGCCCCTTTTGGCCCTGTTAGGCAAGGCCTAGCTCAGCCCCGCCTCTGTCCCGCCCCGCCGTCTGTCTTGGCCCCACCCCTGGGGTCCCGCCCCGCCCCCTCTACCCCGGCCCCACCTTCCACCCTGGCCCCGCCCTCGGCCCCCTGCATTCTGCCCGGCCCCGCCCCTAGGCCCCAACCTTCCGCCCCGCCCCAGCCCGCCCCGCGCCCGCGCCGCCCGTTTCAGGCCCGTGTCAGGCCCGTTGGCACCGGGCTAACAGCTCCACCACGTCCGTCGCCCTGGACGCCTGCGGACCGCCCCAGGAGGCCCGGCCCCGCCTGCCCCGGCCCGCGCAGGTGAGCGGCGGCGCTCCCGCAGCTGTGCGTCCCAGGGCGCCCGCGCACCCTCTCTGGACTCCGCCCGGCCTGAGGGCGGGAGGACGCAGCCGCGGCGGCGGGGGCGCCCCCTAGAGGTTCGCGTGGGCCAAGGTTCGGACGGGCGCCGGAGCGCCCTGTGTCGTGTGGGCCCGGATATCCAGGTGCATTTCCCAGCGGCCTGGGCGTCGAACCCTGAGCCGCTTCGCTGCGGGAATGCTCAGGGCTTCCCGGGGGGGTAGTGGGCGTTCCGGTGAGCTGAGAATGTGAGGGAGGAGGGCGTGTCCCTGCCCCCTGATACGCTTTGATTGGATTCTGGCCCACAGCATTCGTCTAACCCCGGCCGGGTTTCCCCCGGCTCTGGCTCCGGTGGGGCCAGAGCTCATCCCGGCTGTGGCCCCACGGGATGAGCCTCACTTTTCCTCATCTGGTGAATGGGCACTGGCCTTGCTCGGGCCCCCAGGAGCATCAGAGCTGGCCCTGAGCCAGGCCCTCCCTCCCCCTGGGGGCCCCGGGACCAGTGACCCAGACGCCAGCAGTCCCTGCCCTGGGAGGTTCCAATTTCATCAGGCAGCCCAGACAGGGGAAGAAGCAGAGGAGAGAGGGTGATCAGAAATGGGATGGGGGATCCCGCAGGCAGAGGGGAAGCCCAGAGGAAGCGGCAGAACAAGGCTGGGCAGTAGGAGAAGTAGGGGCTGAGAGCCGAAGGGTGAGAAAGCTCCGGCCATGCGAGCAGGAATGGTGCTCCCGGCAGAGGGAACAGCGGGGCCAGGGCGTGGGGAGTAGGGAGCTGCTGAGTGCTGGGGGTGGGAGTCATTTTCGGGAGCTGCCAAGGGCACGGAAGGACTAGGAGTGACCATGAACTAGCTGGTGGGAAGGCTCCGGGCTCTGTGGAGGGCTGGCAGTCCCTGCCCCAACACCACACTCAGACCTCTCAGCCCCTTGGTCCTCAAACACACTTCGAGACATGATGGAGAGCCCTGGGGCCCCATTTAGTCTGTCAACAAACATTGACTGAGCACCTGACCAGGCTGGGCATCGTGTGCCGTGTGGGGATTGGGGCAGGAGGGGCAGCAGGGGGGCCCGGGAGGATGTGGGTGCGATCGGCCCCGGAGAGGTGATGGGGGACGACCATGGGGGGCCATAGGGGGCCACAGGGGTGGGGAGCAGCGGCCAGGTGACCGACTGTAACGGGGAAGGACTCACAGCTGGCGACTGGACCTCCAGAGCCTGGGGAGGGGACAGCAGATGGACGTGGGAGGTGACATTTCAAAGAAGGTGGAGTGGTGGGCACTGTCCGGCTGCCAGTGTGACCTCAGACCCCTCTCCTCGACAGCCCCACCAGCACGGGCAGCCTCGCGTACTGAGAAAACCTTGAGGAGGAGAAGAACTCGGGTGCATGTCTGGCCAAGTGCGGGCGCAGGGCTGGAGGTAGAGTGAGGGGGTGCCAGGGAGACCCCGACAAGGGGCGTTAAAGTGCAATGACTGAAGTGGGGAGACGGGAGGCCAAGCACGCGGTTCTCAGTGGGTTACAAAGAGTTCAAAATCCTATCACTGAAAGGTGGACTCAGGATTTGTGGGCCTGTGAGCCCAGAACTATCTGGGCAGGGAGTGGAGCCTTGGACACCTCGGCACCCGTCCCTGGGCCTCAGTTTACCCCTCTGTAGAAGGAATGTGCGTGAGTGGGTCTCCCAGGGCCTAGGGATTGGCTCAAGGGGAGCCGGATGCTCAGATCCACCTGGGCTCCCCGAGTGCCTACTGTTGTGCAGGGGCCGCGTGGGCCCTCTCATCTGTTTACGGGCTGGATCACCGGGGGGCCCCTTAGCCCTCCTCCGGGGTGTCATTAGCCCGTGTTTGTCCTCTCGGGCCTCAGAGTTCACCTGGGAGGTGCAAGCCAACAACCGGTCCTACAACAACCAGTTCAAGGAGAAGGTCTTCCTGTGCTGGCAGAGGAAGAAGTACAAGGTGGGCAGGCCCAACCCCCGCGGGCCTCCGGGACCTGCCACCCAAGCTCTGCATGCTGGGTCAGTCCACTTAGTCCTGAGGACTGTAGCGCCGCCCTCGCCGAGTCGTGGGGTCCAGTGCTGGCGCTTCGCGTGTCTCCTCCGCCCTAAATAAGTTACTAGGCAACCTTCACGGTACAGCGTGTCCATTGGGCTCTACCTGAAACCCCCGGCCTGCGTCTCACGCGGGGAGTCCTGGGGTCACAGCTCGGCTCACTGGGTCTGCACCCGCGCTGGTCATGGCCGGAGGGAAGGGGGAGGCGGATGGGGCTGGGTGGGAACCCGGGCCCTCCTGGACGGCGCCCCCATGCCGGCTGCCGGCTCTCGTCCCAGGGGAACGTCATCCACAGGCCAAGTACAATGTCTTCTCCTTCCTGCCCTTGAACCTGTACCAGCAGTTCCACCGCATGTCCAGCCTCTACTTCCTTCTCATCATCATCCTCCAGGTGGGGCGGGTGGGGCAGCCCCAGGGGTCAGTGCCTGTGCCCACTCCACTCCTCCTACCTGCTCAAGCCACCTCCTCCAGGAAGCCCTCCCTTCCCACCTTCCCACGTGGCTCTGTAGACCCAGGGTGGTCCTACCCCGTGTTTGTCTGTGTGGCTGGTGAGTCAGTGTCCAGCCCCCCTCACACTGGGAGCACCCTCATGGCTGGGTCCCCACTGCCCAGCCCAGGGCCTGGCACACAGGAGGCGCTCAATATATGTTGGATGCTGAGGGTGCATGGGTGGCCCCTCCAGGTCTAAGGTGGCCTCCTGACCCCTTTGGCCCCAGCAGGCTGAGCTGATCCCAGAGGGCCAGGAGGAAGGATTAGGTTCTTGGGACCCGCCGGGTCACTTCCTGGCATCAGGCTGGTCATGGATGGAGATGGGTGAGGGATGGGCAGTTTCCAGTGCCTGCAGAAGAAAGGCCTGATGGAGTGGACCACGGAAGAGGCCTTGGCCGTGAGTCCCTGTGGGAAGGGAGGGTGGAGGGGCAGGTTCAAGGGCACAGGGACAGGAGGAGAAGGGCAGGAGAGGAGAGTGTGCAGAGAAATGGCCTCAGGTACCCAGGGCAGCCATGTACAGTTGATCAGGTTGTGCACTATTCTGCCCAGCACGCGCGCGCGCGCGCACACACACACACACACACACACGCTGGAGAGGGAGCCAAACTCCAAGCTGCACCTGCCCAAAGGGAATACCTTTTTCTCAGTCACGCAAGGACACCCTGTGGTTAGGCTTTTGTTCTGGTTGCTACCCCCCTATCCCAGCCAGGCCTAGTTTCCAGGACGTGCTTAGCCCTCTCTGCCCCAAAACTTTTGTCTCCGTGGGTGAAGCCCAAACGCCTTGGCCCAACTTTCCAGACTGTCTTTCTGTGTTCTGCTATCCTGTCTATCCTGGTCCCTCCTTGACCTCGCGGGGTTCCCCAGAACCCCAATTTCTGGCTTGCAGTTTCCTCCATGCTCAGGTGTTGCCTCAGGACCTTTGCACACGCTATTCCCTCTGCTAGGAATGCCTTCCTCCACTCTAGCGCTCAGTCACCATCCTTTGGTCCTCAAGGTTCAGCCATAGGTCCCCACCTCCAGGGAGCTGTTCCCGCCCCGACCCTGACATGGGGCTGTCCTGCCGTGCTGGCCCAGCCCTGACCCTGCAGGTCCCCAGCCTCACCCAGCACAGGGGCCAGTGGGACTGCTTGGGGAAAGAAATGTCCTGTGTCCCTCCACACGGGGGCCTCCCAGACTGCCCTGTTCTACCTCTGCCGGGAAGTGGGTGGGGGGTGGGGAGCAGGCAGCTGGTCTGTGACCCACAACCGAGGAAGTGCAGTCAGAACCATGACCCAGAGCCCAGGAGCTCGGCAAGACGGCTTGGCTTAACCGCCTATGGAGTGGATGGGGAAACTGAGGCACGAGAGGAGCACAGGCCTGTCTGGAGCTCCTGACCTGTCCAAGCTCAGCCGCTCAAGCCCACCTTCAGTCAGGAACAGAAGCAAGACCCCAGGCAACAGGCGAAAAGCCTGGGGGAGGGTTGGGGCGTAGGAGGGAAGGAAGGAGCCACGATGGGCCCCCCTGGGGCGAGTGAGCTCTGGGTCTTTCCTGGGGTCTGGAGACAGAGTCCCCAGGATCCTTACAGTTCCACCCACCCCAGAGGCCTCAGCTCCTTGAAAAATGAGGCAGAGGGAGGGGTCTGGGGCTGGGGGAGCCCTGACGGCAGAGGGCTCTGGCAGGGCTGCACCGAGTGTCTTACGGAATAGTTAGAATTTGCCTGTGAGGTCTGGGGGCAAAACAGCTGGGCATCGGCGGGCGGGGGGGGGGGGGGGCAGGGGGCGGGCTGAGACAGAGCGGGTGTGGAGCAGGGCGGCACGTGGTCCTAGCTCCCCCTGCCCGGGAAGACAAGACTGTGGGTGGTGGGTAGGTTGGGTGACCCCAGGCAGAGGGAGAGGTGCCCGGGTGAGGGGGCAGGGGTTGGCGGGGGTGCCAGCGCCGCCTGCCCGCCCGGGGCCCAGTCCTTGGCCGAGCAGACCCTGTGGACACTGTGCATGGCCTGCAAGGAGGTGGACGAAGACATGTACGAAGAGTGGCGCCAGCGGCACCAGGAAGCCAGCATCCTGCTGCAGAACCGTGCCCATGCCCTGCACCCGCTGTACGAGGAGATGGAGCAGAACCTCCAGGTGGGTGGAGCTCAGGGGGAGGGGCGCCCGCACCCCAGCTCCAGCCCCTCAGCCCCTCCAGGGAGCTGGCTCCCTGCTCAGGCTGTCCCCACGCCCACCCCCGGCTGCTGGGAGCCACAGACGTCGAGGACAGGCTCCAGGACGGTGTCCTCGACAGCATCCAGTGTCTTAAGCAGGGGGGCATCAGAGTGTGGGTTCCCGCAGGGGACAAGCAAGGCGGGCCCCAGGGCGGCCGCCCCCAACGTGGCGAGAAGGGAGGCGCGGGGAGAGCTCACCCCTGCCTGGGCACCACCGTCGGCCCATCCCTCTTTTTTTTCTTTTTTTTCCAAAGATTTATTTTTGTTGTGGACCATTCTTAAAGTCTTTATTGAACTTGTTACAGTGTTGCTTCTGTTTTATATGTTGGTTTTTTGGCCACAAGGCATGTGGGATCTTAGCTCCCAGACCAGGGATCAAACCTGCACTCCCTGCATTGGAAGGCGAAGTCTTAACCACTGGACCGCCAGGGAAGTCCTGGCCTATCCCTCTTGTCTGAGTTCAGCATTGCCCTCCACCTTGTCCCTGGGAAGGGAGCTCAGGGAACAATGGACTGGGGTCCCCTGGGCGCCTCCCTCGGGTGGGCCGGTGCCATGCTCAGCGTCTCCTTGGGGTTTGGCCCCCTGGCAGCGCCATGCAGTGGGGCCCTCATTACCCCTGCCTCATAGATGACCCAGCGGGGCTCAGAGAGCATGGGCACCTGCCGCAGTTGCTCAGCCACCCAGGAGCCAAGCTGGAATGGAACCTCAGGTCCTGTGGCCGTGGAGCCATGACTCCACTCCAGTGAGGCTTCTCCGGGGCCCCACTGGGCATGGGTGCCTGCAGGGCTGCATTAGAACTTCTGCGGACAGGAGGCACGTACACACAAAATATTTAGGATGACGTTTAACAGCTGTGCTGGAGTAAAGACAAATACCCAGGCTGCATTTTTATATTCATTTTTTTCCCTCTTCTTTATTTTTTTTAAACAAATTAATTCATTTTTGTGGGTTCCTGGAAGTGCCTTGGGGCCCTAAGCACGATATGTCTAACGATCCCTTGGCCCTGGCCCCAGACCCACCTCTCACTGGCAGCCCAGCTCCAGCCAGGCGAGTGGAATGGAGCCCCCTCTGCTCAGAGCTGCCACCAAAGTCTCAGGGCTGACTCTCATTGGCTGGCATGGTCACATGCCCTCCTCCAAACCAATTGCTGTGGCCAGGGGGAGGGGCATGCTGCTGTGATGGGCAGAGTGGGCATGGCCGCCAGGCAGGGGGCTGTGGAGGGGCTGAGCTGGGCTGGTTTGCAGAGACAGCGGTGAACATCGGCTTTGCCTGCCAGCTGCTCTCGGAAAACATGATCATTCTGGAGGAGAAGGAGATTGTGTAAGACGTGGGGGTTGGGTGGTTGGGTGCATGAGCCTGTGTTGGGGGGGTCAGGGTTGGGGCAGGGCACCACCCATGGCCCAGGCATGGCTCTGGGGTCTGCAGAATGCCCTCAGCCTCTGCCTGGTGGGGCTCCCAGAGGGGGAAACCAAGGCACAGCTGGGGAGTGGGTGCAAGGAAGCCCGTGCGGCTGGTGTGGCTGAGCCCCTGCTGGGCCCCTGCTGGACCCCTGCAGGCAGATCCTGGAGGTCTACTGGGAGAGCAGCAATAGCCTGCAGGGTGGCAAGAAGGGCCACCTGAACAAACAGCTCCCCCTGCAGGTCAAAATGGCCTTGGTCATTAACGGGGAGTTCCTGGTCAATGTCAGCTCAGGGTAGGCAGCGGGACCTTGGTACCTGGGAGGGGGCTGGGGACGGCCTCCACCAAAAGGCCCCCAGATGTGGTGTTGGACCAGCCAAGGCGAAGGGCCTGAAGCGTCACACCGAGAGATGGTTCTCAGCAGGGCGAGAGCAAGGGAAGGACGCAGTCAGGTCCAGCCGGGAGGAGGGCCCAGTCGGGGCGTTCCTGGAGGGCAGTGGTGCAGCTGAGTGACGCGCCCCCTGTCCCCCGCGGGCCAGGACCAGCTGCTGCTGTCCCTGCGCACGGAGGCCCGGGCCCTGGTCCAGAACGTGAGCTTGGAAGAGGAGGAGCCCTGGCAGGAGCCCAGAGAGGAGAGGGCGGACTTCCTGCAGGCCAGACGCCTGTCCCTGGTGTGACGGTTCGTGGGTGGTGGGCAGCAGCGTGCGGGGAGGCCGGCGGCTGGCAGCAGGCGGTGGTGGTAGCTGAGGGGCCCGGGGCCGACAGGCTGCGTGTGTCTCTGCAGCTGCGGACATCGGCATGGGGCTGGCGGGTCAGGAGGGCATGCAGGCGGTGCAGAACAGCGACTATGTGCTGGCCCAGTTCTGCTTCCTGCGGCGGCTGCTGCTGGTGCATGGCCGTTGGTCCTACACGCGCGTCTGCAAGTTCCTGCGCTACTTTATCTACAAGACACTGGCCAGCATGATGGTCCAGATCTGGTTCACTTTCTACAGCGGCTTCACGGCCCAGGTGCGCTGGAGGGAACTCCCCTCTTGGGGCGGGGGGGCCGGGGGGGGGTGGGCTCTGGGATTGCCGTGTCCTTCCCATAGCCTCCAGGAAGGCAGCAGGCAGGCTCACACTCGGGTCATCACGGGGCAGAGTTGCCTGAAGTCACAGAGCAGCACAGACTTTTATTTGGCCGCATTCATAGAGGTAGAGATTCCAGATGAAGGGAAGGGATGGTTCCACGCCCAGCTCAGTGCCAAGCCTTTTCAGGGATATTTGGCAAATTTGAGCTTTGGAGCAAGGGCAGGACAGGTGCTCCAAATATACATCCTTCAAGGAGAGACAATGAGAGCTTGAACTTGAGAGAAGATAAGACTATGGGGGCTGGTTCCCTAACTTCAAGACTCTTGACAGTATCATGGTGAATACTAGCTGTGCTCTCCAGAGCGTTAGAGGAGTTGTAGGGCAGTGATGTCCCCTGTGTGTAAGGAAATTGTCTGAAGATAGACTACAGTGAGAGGGAATGAGCTCCCCGTCACTAATGCCAAGGTATTTGAGAGAGAGCTTTACAGCAGCAGCCCTCATAAATATATATATGTATATATATATATATATATATTTTTTATTATTATTATTTTTTTTTTTTTTTTGCGGTACGCGGGCCTCTCCCTGCTGTGGCCTCTCCCGTCGCGGAGCACAGGCGCCGGACGCGCAGGCTCAGCGTCCATGGCTCATGGGCCCAGCCGCTCCGCGGCATGTGGGATCCTCCCGGACCGGGGCACAAACCCGTGTCCCCTGCATCGGCAGGCGGACTCTCAACCACTGCACCACCAGGGAAGCCCCATAAATATATATTTTTGTTTTACTTTTTATTTCTAGATATTTTCTTCTTTTAGATGCTGCTCTAAATGGAATTGTTTCTTTAATTCACTTTTGAGATTGCTTATTGCTGGTATATAGAAACAGTTTTGTGTGTGTGTTGATCTGTGTGCCCTTCAGCTTTGTTGAATTTGTTTATTGGCTCTAGTAGCTTTCCTGTGAATCCTTTGGGATTTTCTGCATATAGATCCTGTCCTCTGCAAATAGAGATAGTTTTACCTCTCCCTTTCCAATTTGGATACTTTGAATTTCTTTTTCCTGCCTAATTGCTCTGGCTAGGACTTCCATTGCAATGTTGAATTGCCATGGTGAAAGCAGGCACCTTTGTCTTGTTCCTGATCTTAGAGGGGACAGTGTCCAGTCTTTCTGTATTTGTTAATTGGAATTCTTCCATGGGAAGAACTGTTCCTTCTCCCCTATTTATTTATTCAATTATTTATTTCTATCAGTGTGGACTCGTGGGTGTTTATTTTATTCTATGCTTTGTTGCTCAAGTTGTCCCCGATTTGCCCCTTTGCCACGTGCCTGCTCTTCTCTGAGTACATCCTCACTTCCTGGTGCTACAAGAGGTTCCAGGCCCATTTTGTCTTTTCTGTGCCCCAACCCTGGAATGAGCCATTCCCATATGGAGCCCTGGTTCTCTTCACCAGAGAATGGTAGTTAGACACCAAGATCCAAGTGCTTAGTGTGGTCATTTTGCTACTGGGATGCCATTATCCTCTCGGTAGACAGAGCTAGGAAATGCACACATGTTAACCCATGCTTAGATGCAAATCTATATCGCTATCGACACCTATCCATCTATCTATTTTTGTGTATGTGAGTTCACACTGATACCTCTGCTTCCTGACCCACAGAACAAGGCTCAGCTTAGCCTTTTCCGTTTACTGCTTTGTGACTCTTATCTCCGATGGTGAGAAACTTGATTCTGGTAAAAAAAGTTTGATCGTTACTTATTTGCTCAATCCCATAATGCACATAAAGTGGTTTTTGGAACTGAAACTGATATTCTTTTAACTAGTCTGGATTCATGCATTCGGGAAGGAAGCTGGGCTATTTGTCTCTGAGGTCTCTTCCAACTCTTCTACCCATCAGTGATTTCCTAAATCGAAAATGATCTAAAAACACACTCTCTAGCCGTTTTCCCTCCTGTAGCTTTTTATTGAAGTCATCCACTTAGAACAGGCTCAAAGGTGCTGCTTTAAAAGAATTAGACCAGGGCTTCCCTGGTGGCGCAGTGGTTGAGAGTCCGCCTGCCGATGCAGGGGACACGGGTTTGTGCCCCGGTCCGGGAAGATCCCACATGCCGCGGAGCGGCTGGGCCCGTGAGCCATGGCCGCTGAGCCTGTGCGTCCCGAGCCTGTGCTCTGCAACGGGAGAGGCCACAACAGTGAGAGGCCCGCGTACCGAAAAAAAAAAAAAAAAAAGGACAAATACTGTCTGATCCCACTCACAGGGTATCCCTGGGGGAGTCACATCCATAGAGACAGGAAGTAGATGGTGGCGGCCAGGGACTGGGGGAGGGGGTGGGGAGTCAGTGTTTCTTGGGGACAGAGTTTCAGTTTGGGAAGATGAGAAAGTTCTGGAGATGATGGCGGGGATGGTTGCACGACAGTGTGAATGTACTTAATGCCACTGAGCTGTGCACTTAAAAATGGTTGAAATGGTACATTTTATGTTATGTGCATTTTACCACAGTGAAAAAAGGTGGGGGAGAGGACTCGCTGGCTCATAAAATCAGAATCTAGAAGGATGGGTCGCAGCTGGGCTGGGCCCCAGAATTGACTGGAATGGTGGACTAGGACATGGCCACAAACCTGCCACCTTCACCCACACAGGCTGGACATTGGGCTGCCCCAGACTCTGATTGGCTGATCCAAAGTCAGGTCCTAGGGAAGGAATCCGATTGGCTGGTCCGAAGTCACGTCCCATGGGACTTCCCTGGGGGTCCAGTGGTTAGAACTCTGCACTTCCATGGCAAGGGGCACAGGTTCGATCCCTAGTTGGGGAAGTAGGATCCCACATGCTGCGCGGTGTGGCCAAAGGAAAAGAAAAACAGAAAAATGTCAGGTCCCATGGAGGACTCCATGGGTCAACTTGGGTAGGAAAGAGCCTGGCCAATCCATGGTGGCAAAGGGCTCTGATTGGCCCCCACTGGAGGGGCAGGTGACCCGAAAGCAGTCAACATGGCTCAGGAGCCTGATGACTCCTGCTTTCCCCTTTGCTCTGTAGAAGGAGGAGGAGAGCATCACCGTGGAGCCCATACCCCATGTCCTCCGGGAGGCACGGACCCGGCACTCCAGCTATGCCTTCTCCCACCGGGAGGGCTATGCGGACCTCATCACACAGGGCACAATTCTGTGGAGGTCACCAGGGGTCAACAGCGACACGCTGGTTGGTCACACGAGGCCACCTGATGAGCTGCCCTCAAGCATGGAGGAGTCCTCCTGGTACCCCGGGAGGATGTCGTTCCTGGGGAGCACCAGGGGAAGGTGTCCTCCGAGGATGTTCAGCCTGCCTCCGAGGTGAGCTCATCCTTGCCTGTGGATGGGCAGTCCTCTCCTTATCAGGAGAGCCAGCACTCTCTCACCAAAAACCGGCTGTCCGGGTCTCTCCAGGAGAAGTTGCCGAAGAGGCAGGAGGGGTCACTGTCATAGGAACCGTGGCCATATACTCCCCAGAGTCTGCCACCAACCAAGGAGACACCACTATCAGTGGAGGAGAGCCAGATGACTTCTTCTGAGAGCCAGATGCTGCCTTCAAGCCAGCTGTCTTTGAAGAGCCGGTCAGCACACTTGCAGAAGACATTCCTCTGGAAGATCCGGAAACTGTCCTGGAAGAACTGGCCGTACACCTGGCAAAAGGAGTCCGGGCCCTCCCAAGGAGGGGATGGGGCCAGTTTCCAACTCGAACCTCACTGCTGTGATGGAAACTCCACCACCAACTGCAAGAGGATCATCCACCAGCGAGCAGCCGATGGCGGTGGAACCCTCCCCTGTGGAGAAGCAGCCGTCGCCCATGGAGTGGCTGCCAGGGCCCAGCGAGGGTCAAACTCCACCTGATCCGGCAGGGCTGCCGCCCTCACCTGAGGAACAGCAGTGACTGCCCAGGCTTAGTAAGTGTCACCCAGCATCGTGAGGCCTTCCCCCAAAGACAGGGGCTCCACCTGCTCCTCTTTCTCTAATAAACCACGGTCTGTCTGACCCCAGGTCTCCTTGAGGCTCTCTCTTCCTATACTTCTTTCTGTGATGTCCCATGAAATAGTTCTTTTCTGGTTTTAAAAATCAAAACACTGACCTCTAGTGGCCTGATGGGGGATTTGCAGGGAAAGCTGGGTTTCTTTGGGTTTCTTTACCCTGGGGTAATGTGGATAAAAGCTTTATTGCTCTCAGAAGGGAGAAGGGTGCTGAGCAGACTCTGCTTACCAGCCCTGGCTTCCTGCCTGCAGCCTGCTGGCTTATCTCAGGGCAGTTTATAAGGTCCAGTCCTGACACCGCCCAGCCTTTTCCTCCACTGGGCTGCCCTGGTTTCTTCTCAAACAAACCACCTTACACTTTAGGCTCCAGAAGGCAGTGGTCAGTGACACCTCAGAAGCAGAGCCCAGCAAGATCCGAGGCTCAGGTGGCCCAAAGGCCCTGTGGAGTGTGGAGCCCTGTGGGGGCAGGGGCTCAGGGAGGGCTGAGTTCAGAGCAGAGAGGGGTGGGCTGGGAGAGGCCCGCTTCCACTTTCCCTCGTCCCCTTCCTCCTTCATGGAGGGTGAGCCCCATGCCTCCCACTCCTGCACCAGCCCCTCCCCCCCCACCATTCAGCAAAGGCACAAGCCCAGGTGAGTGACTAGAAAATAATTTATTGGAGGGAAACAAAACAACAAATCCAGCACAGCAATGGTTCACAGCGATGATGATATATTTTTTTAAACTTTTAAGCCTGTCGCCTGAGGGTAGGGTGGAGGGGGCCTCTGTTCCCTCTAGCCCTGGGGGTTCGGGGGAGGACTTTGGACGACCCAAATCGTGTGTCCCCTGAAAGCAGCCCTAGCGTCCAGTTGTGATTACACACTCAGGGCCACATGGCCTCCTGGCCGCCCTCACCCCTGGTGGAGACAATCCTCCCAAAGACCAGCCCTTGGGGGGCCTGCCAGGGATACAGGAGACCAGGGAGCTGATGGGCTGGTGTGGCTGAAACTGCTTTGGGCCAAGAATGTGAGTGTCCCCAGTTCCAGCCGGTGCAGGGGCCCCGGAACATGCCCCACCCCACCCCCCGCCCTCATTGCAGGTGGGTTGAACCTGCGCCCCCAGGCCCAGCCCTCCAAACTTGGGCCTTCTGTCCTTCAGGGTGTGAGAGACCCCCTTTGGCCACCCAAACCCACCTTACCTGGGGCCTGTCCTGGAAAGTGGGTTCTCCCCTGGTGGGAGCGTGGGCCCCGTGGCAGAAGAGTCACAGTCCGGGAGACTGTCCCAGAGCCCCCTTTCATGATTTTTTGGGGGCCCCTTTGTTCTCTGGGTACCAGTGGGGGCTGGGAGGGAGGGCTCCGCAGGTGTGCACCCCCTACCTCCCAGGCCAGACAGAAAGGTGAAGGCCAGGCCTGAGGGAGCTGGGGCGTGTGGGTGGAGCCCGGGCAGGTGCCTGCCTTGGGGGGGTTGTCTCAGGAGGGCCCTTCAGATCTGAGGAAGTAGGGGTACACCCCACCCCCCACCAACCTAGGCGACAAGACTCGAATTGGTTGATTGTCTCCTCTGAACAAGACACTTGGGAATTCATGCTAACGTGAGACCAACCGACCGAGCGGGGGGCCCGAGGTGGCAGTGACGCCCACTGGTGCCCCAGGACCAGGAGCCGGAGGGACTCTGGTGCCAGGAGCTGGAGGCCCCGCCACCAGCCGCCTTCCTTCTGCACCTGAGGCCCGTCCACCCACCGCCGGCTAGACACAGATCCTTGGAAAGGGGGGAGAGTAACACAGAGCAGCGCCGAGGAGCACCGAACAGCACCGACTGGGGCATGAAACACAAGATGCGACACGGAATCCCGGGGCTCCGGCCCCGCGGCCCCGCCCCACCCCCACCCTTCCACCTAGTACATTATCTTCAAGAAAAAGTACATTAGTCATGCATCAAATCAAATTCCATTGCGTCTTTTTTTTTCATTTTTCTTCCTTTTTCTTAAATTACATTTGAACACAGAACACATAGAATAATAAATACTCTTGTAAGACATGACTTCAAAAAACAAGAAACAGAACACGCCAGAGAACAGAAAGGTATCCAACGCTCTCTCTCTCCTCTCTTTCCTAAAGGACGCATTGAAATAAGAAATCTGTAAACGCCGCAGGTCCTTCCTCGTGCGCTCCCAGACTCTCTCTCTCGCTCATGCTCCCCCGGCCCTTTGCCTCTGACCACCCAGCTTCCCCTGCCCTGACATTCAACGCGTCTCCCACGGAGCTCACCAAAAGAAATGACATACCATCGTCTGCAAAATTATAATTTAACGGTATAAAGCTTCAAGTCACGTATTCCAAAAACTAGCTAAGGATTTTTTTTTTAATCACATAAACTATACATTAAATATCTTGAGGTATTTCAGAGAAAATTGTCAAAGGCTCGAAGGAGCTGTGCTGGAGGTGTCATTCCCTGTGTGGAGAATGGTCTTTGGTATGTGACAACCAGCTGGGTGTTGGGGCAAGCGGGGCTGGGCGGGGCGTCAGAAGGGAGATGGTGTGTGTGCACGTGTATGCGTGCGTGTGTGCATATGTAATAGGAGGGTGTTTGAAAGGGACACAGGAGTCAGGGACGCTTCTGTGACCCGTGTCACTGGGGCTTGAGGGGTCCCGTCACCAGAAAGGTCCCATGTCCATTCCTAAGTGTCCAACACGGGACAAACCCAGGAGGCCCTGGCCTCTGACGCTTGGACCTTGAATGCAGGACCAGCAAGTGACTTAACCAGCAGAGAATCCCCGTCCCCCAAAAGCAGGTGCTCTCTCAAGTGGGGCCCACGTGTTCGTGGCAGGCTGAGGGAGGGGCCGTGTCCACCCAGACCCCAGCTCCCAGTGTGGTGGGACCAGTGTGTGCACAGGAGTGTGTACGTGTGTCTGGGGGGAGGGGTTGTTGCTGAGCGGGAATGGGGACCCTTAGGATTCTGCCTCAACACCCAAAGGTTCTAGAAGCATCACTCAGATCCGGTTGCTTGAAAAGCGGGGAGAATAGCGAGTCGATAAGGACAAGAGAGCATCTCACACACGTCTTTGGTTCAAGAAAAAGGCACTCATCGACCTCACCACCCTCTCCCTCCCTCCCACTCTGTCTCTCTCTCTCTGTCTCTCTTTCTCTCTCTGCTCTCTCTGGTGGTGGACAGGTGGCACCTGGGGGGCAGGGCCCAAAGCAGACCCTCGCCCACACCTGGTCCCCAGGCGAGGGAATCCTAGCATCCAGCACAAGTCCTTGGGGGAAATCTTTGGTATCAGGCGTGATTTTTCCAATCACAGACATGAACATTTGAGTGAGGTAGCCTTTACCTGGGGAGGAGGAGGGGCATTTCATTAGAAATGTCTCTTGCATTCTCAAAGGGGAGGGGTGTGGCCACCTCTCTGGGAGGCGGTGGTCAGGGGGTGGGAGGTGGTGGTCAGGGGGTGGGAGGCGGTTTTGTGGGGAGAGGTTCCTTCTAGCCTCCAGCTCTTGAGCCCTGGGCGGGGGAGCAGGCTCTTGGGATCCAGCTGCCGGCCACTCCTGGAGGTCACCTGGAGAGGGTGAGCAGGGGAGGGGGGCGTGCTCATCTTCATTTCTGACCCTTCCTTCCCCTTTGTCATTTTTTGTTTTTCTTTTGGCAAAAATTAGAGCAAGCAGATTCCACCTTGTTCATCATCTTCTTTCTCTCTTTGGAGAAGAAGCAGCAGCAGGACCGGTTCACCCCTGCGCCCCTGCAGGCCCAGCGCCGCACCCCCGAGCGCTGGGAGGTGGGGGAAGTTCCGGGGGGTCCCGAGCAGAGGGCGACGCCGCGACCCCAGCGAGCAGAGGCTCAGGTGTGCCCTGCTCTTCCGGGGCCCGTTTCTCCGTGGAATCTGGGTGTTTTCTTCTGTTTCCTGGGGTCTGTCTCTCCCCGCGCGTCATTCATCAAGGTGCCTAGCGGTAAAGTGAACTGGCAGAGGGATGTGGGGAGGGAGGCGTCTGGAATTACCCGCTTGTTTGAGCTGCCGTCCCCTCCGGTCTGGGACAGGGTGGGGAAGGGTGCTCGCCGGTGGGTGCTGGGCGGTCGCCACTGCAGGGCACCCCCGCCCCCAGACGTTAAGGCAGGCAATTCTTGGCACAAGGAATCCCGGCTGCCGGGAGGGGCGGCTGGGTCTTGGCTGCGGAAGCAGTTCTGCCGGCGGACCCGGGGTGGTCTTGGTGGGGTGGGGGCAGTGTGAGGCTCCAGCTCGACGTGGGCTTTGGCGACTTTGGAGGGGTTGAGATCTCGGGGAAGGGTCCGTGCCGGGGGTTTGGGGGGGTACCATTGTAGAGGAGGCCTCCCTGCCTCCTTCCGTGGGGTCGGGGGGCCGGCGAAGGAGGGATTATTCTTTAAATTCCTTTTTTAAATACCCGGTTTGTTTCTAGTATGTGCTTCTTGACCCGCTTTCGGGACGACACGTGAGCCCTGGTTTTCCTCGAAGCCCCCTGGGCGTCCTGCCTTGAAAGGGAGCCCGGGAGCCCCTTTCTGTCACCCCCTCCCCTCTGGCGGGGGGGTGGAGGGCTTCCTTTGGCCTGAAGGAGATTGGGACGGAGGGAGGAGGGGGGCCCTTTTTGTGCACTTGGGCTGGGGTGTGCTGCGTCCCTTCCCGGGGTGTGGGAACCCGGACGGCAGCCCCTCCAGGTGCCCCCTGGCGCGGGTCTCCGGGCCGGCAGGGTTGGGGCTGGGGGACGTGGGAGGGCAGCGCCCGGGCCGTGGAGGCTGGGAGGGCGCGGTGGGGGAGGGGGGAGGGGAGGGCGCGGTTGGGGGGGAGGGGAGGGGGCGGGGCGCCTCAGGCCTTGGAGAAGGTGGCCGCGGCGCCGACGGGGCCCCCGGGGGCCGCGCCTGGCTCCTCGGCCCAGCGGTTCATGCAGCGGCGCCGCGCGTTCATGAAGAAATTGCTGACGGTGTTGAGCTCCAGGCCGAGCTGCTGCGAGATGGTGACCTGCATCTCCTTCGACGGCCGCTTGTTCTCCTTAAAGATGGCGATCAGCGTGCGCCGCTGCAGGTCGGTGAACACCAGGCGCTGCTTCTTGGGCTGCAGCGCGCGCTCCTTCTGCTGCTCCTGCTCCTTCCGCTTGCAGGCTGCGGGCGAGCGGGCGGGCGGGCGAGCGAGCGGGACGCAGCGCCACCGTGCGGCCGCACGGAAGAAGACAGGCCACGCGTCCCGGAGCGGAGAGACACGAGGAAACACAGAAATACGCGGGAAACGCGGGAGATGGAGGGAGAGACGACCCGGGGACAGGGCCAAAAGAGACAGGGAGACACAGAAAGAGGCCAGGAGGCAGCGAGTAGAGACCGCCAGTAATGGAAGGAAGGGGGGGGCAGACAGTCGTGGGCAGGAGACAGAGACAGAGGAGGCAGATGTGGAGGTGGGGAGAAACAGAAGGGGACACAGTGTGAGCACACCTCCACAGGCACGGGTCGCCACCCCTCCCGTCCCTCTTCTGCATGCTTGGCCCCCTCCCCAGCCTCATATCCCCAAACCCCTCCCCAGCCCCCCAAGAATCCTGACCTCAAGAGCACCACTGGTGTTGGTGGCTTTCCGCCCTCCCTTCTGCAGCCCACACCTGGGGGGTGCTGGGGGAAATGACATGGAAACTCTACATGTGAGTTATTTGGCTCAGTGTAGACCTGGGTGAAAGAAGTGGTTAATTCATAGGTCCTTGGAGATGTGTCACAAAGCCCAGTAACCTCCCCCTGGAATGATGGGGCAAGGGGGTTCTCAGAAGGGGGGTGACAGCCCACGCTTCCTTCCCTGGTGTCCTCTGGCGCCTGGCCAGCTCAGGGACCCTGAACCAGGCTCACATGGGCAACCACTGCCTGATTCTGATATCTGAGCCCCCACTCTGGCCTCCCCCCACCAGCAGACTGAGACTGAGGTTTGGCTCCCCTCGAGTCCCCAGAGGAACTTCTGGAGCTGGGAGGATCTAAGGGGGGTTGAGAGACCAACCCTCCCTCTCCCAGGGTCACCTGCACGGAGGACCGGGAAGGCTGCAGGAGGCTGCCCTGTGGTCGGTGGATGCTTGCAAAGGGGAAATGGGAACATCTCAGGGTGGTGGAGCTGGGCTGGAGCCTGTGGTCGTTCTCCTCCCCACCCCAGCTCCAAAGCGGACCCCTCCCCTCAATGCCATGGGGGCCAGTGGGTGGAAAAGATGAGCTTCACCAGCCAGAGCAGGCTACTTCCCCCCGGGGGCTGCTGACATAAGCACAAACTCTATCAGAGTCTCAATTCCTCATCCACGTAGCAGTCAGGGGCAGTGGGTGGTGGACACCTGCCCTATCCTGCCTCCCTGCCAACCGCTTGCCCCAGCGACTCTGTCACCCCCATAGTGGCCGGTGGCACAGGCTGTACTAGCAGATCCCTGCTGCCAGGCCCAGTGGCCTGCTGGGACCACAAGCCAAGCTGGAATTTTTGGTTCCAGGACAGCCTGAACCCGATGACATGCCAGATCAATGTCCACACACGTCAGCAAAAATAAATGAATGTCCCCTGCACTGTGGCTCGTTTCTCGGGGACGACAGGTTCCCCTGTGTGACCTGACGCACCACGTCCCTCCCTGGCCCTCTCTGACCTGGAACACACACGGGGCTTCTGATTGGCTGTTTCAGGTTTCATGATTAAAGAAGAGTGATGATCAGAGGTTACTGGACATTTCAGAAAAGCCTCTAATGAAGGAGAGAGAGAAGAAGTGAGAAAAATGGCAGGAGGATTGGGGGATGATGCTCTCAGAAGAAACAGACAGGTCAGGCACTGTTATAAGTCAGATTCTTGGAGAGGTAAGAGAAAAATACTGTATCCATGAAACAGGACCATGAAAGGGGAAGACAATGCTCTTAGAATTTAAGTATATAATAGCTGGAATAAAGTCAATGTAAGAATTGGAACGTAGGGAATTCCTGGTGGTCCAGTGGTTAGGACTCGGCGCTTTCACTGCCAAGGGCCCGGGTTCAATCCCTGGTCGGGGAACTAAGATCCTGCAGGCCATGTGACTGGGCCAAAAAATTAAAAAAAAAAAAAGGATTGGAACATAAAGCAAATATCTCTGGAAATACAGGTGGACACAGAGATGGAAAATGAGGGAAAGGTGATAACAAAGTTAGAGGATGAATGTGCAGGTTTGTCATCTGAGCAAGAGCCCATCCAAAACTAGAGGAAGGGAAGCCCAAATAAATTATATATATATTTTTTTTTTTTAAATCCATGGCTGGAAGACATGAGAGTTCAGTTTAAAAGAGCCCATGAAATGCTCAGCTCAATGAATGAAAAATAATACACTCCCTGAGGTTCATCCTTGTGAAATGT